AAAAAGTATATAACACCAAGATAGATGCAGTTCTCAGTGGAATTGGAAAGAAAAAGGGGTAAAAATACAAATGAATTCTCTACTGAAGCATGCATTTTACAGTAACCTGACACTGAGGTAGCAGGCTATTGCTCTTACATTCTTGCAGAGAACTACAAAAAAGACCTTGGTTTGATTTTAAACCACTCAGTGAAAAGCATTCTACAGCCAGCTAAAGCTAAATCAAGGCCACTGGTGGAGCTTGGCAAGCACCTGCTTTGCTTTCCCAAATGGCTGATTGCATCACTGGGGAGATGTTTGTCTCTGGCTCTTCTCCAGATGGGGACAGTTGTGCTGCTTATGGTGCTGAAGGTATTCACCAGCTGGCAGGCTACAGCAAAGAGACCTTGTCAGATGGTCGGTTAACTGGTCAGCAGATCTCTCTTTCCCTTCACTTCTCAGTTCTGTCTCTGCTCAGTTTATTGTGGGACTTTTGATTTAATTTGTGGCGTATTTATGTAGAACCAGGGGCAATTCTAGGATCAGAGCTTTGGGGGTGCTTAGCACCCAGAGAGCTGCCCAGCCAGGCAAGATAAACTTTACTCGTCACGATGAGACTTCTTCCCTGTCTCTGTTAGTCCCTGCATCCTTAAACGTCTCCAGTTGTCCCGAGTTTCCTCTGACTGTCTCCTTGGTGCATTTAAACCCCTGTTCCTCCCTGTCCCTGTTGTCTTCATCTCTGTTATCAGTCATCATAATTTTACCATTACTGTGCAAGTCTGCAAATTTCTTTATTAAATCATTGGATTCTTAAATTCATCAAGTCTCTCTCTGCCTGGGTCCTCGTCACAAAACATGACATCATTGTTTTGTACATTTTAACACAATTTAATCCCCACATTTGTGAAAGAAAAAAGCCCTTTTTTTAAAATCTGTAACAAAACAATCAAATCTGATAAAGATTATTTAAATCCTGCAAAAGAAGAATGGATTGGAATAAAAACAAATACATATGGTAACCTTAATTACTGTGGGAAAATGATGAATGATGATCATAGTGAGTAAGAAGTAAACTGAGTGCATTTTCTGGACAGAGATTCACTTTTAATATGTATGTATAATACAATAGATACATAAAAATACACTCCAAAAATAGAGTCCTTGAAATGTAGAAAATATTGATAAAAAAAATGGAGGCAACTTTGCCTATGGTACAATGTATGAAAAGATCTTTACTGCAGATACTACTATGGCTCTGCAGATTTTTTTCTTTTATTTTAACCTATGTCGCCTCACATTGAGGTTGGCAAATCACTTTTTGGTGATCAACTGTCTCAAGCAGTTTAACAGTTTCTGTTGTGCCTGTCGCTATTCCCTGTCTGTTTCCTTACCTGGTTCTTCCTGACCTTGTACTTTCTCCACACGTTCCCCTCTTCCCTCTCTCCTTCTTTGGACTGACAATCATACACAAATAGATTGTATTCAATTAGATGAAAAATTACATTAATATGAAAAAAATACTATTAAGATCACTAATAAAAAGTCCTCTCTCAGTGTACTTTCAAACAAAGGGCAAATAACCAAACCACATGAACATCTAATAAAAGATATATCCAATAATATCCTTTATTGATGGATCATTTGTTCTTACACTTTTACCTGAATGTTGCTCCTGGGTTTAATATCGGCACATGCACATATGACAAAATAACCAGCTTCTCTCATTCCATTTCAAACAGGACAGTGGTAACAACAGCAGGCTACAGACAATTTTAAGTTTCAGATTTTAAATAGGCTATATAAATGTCAATGGGAGCAACAGGACGGTCAAATGTCGCTGATTTTACTACACGAGGACGAATTGCAGGGTAGCAAACATCGTCGGAAAACACGTTTTCAACACTGCAGGTTACCTGGGTGTAATGTTTTTCAGCTAAAAAGAAACATGGCCTGACTCCTACCTAACTATATAAAGAGTAACTGAAGGTTAAATGCAGCTAACATGTCCTGTTTTAAGCCAGGCACTTACACCTCCGCTCCGCTGCGTCTCAGCCACTATCGCTCTGGCTGGTGATGCACGAATCATGAACGAATCGTTCAAGACTCGAGAATCACTTTACTGACTCATGAATCACAAGCCCAACTGACTCACCCGTGTTGCTGTTAGCAAACTAATTTCATTAGTAGAAATATATCTGGCTTGTAATTAAAATTATGGAGAAAAACACAACATCCAGTATCTTAACAAAAGCATTTCTGCTCTAAACTGGAAGAAAAAACCCTGAGTAGAAGCTCACATCAAGACAATAGCTCCTCGGTTCACAGTAGCATCGCTCTGCTAACATGCTAACAGCACATTTGAGCTACTCACCCCCTCCTTTCCTGTGCTGAATCGTAGTGTAAGCGAATCACTCAGGACTCACTAACCCTTCCCTTCCTGAATCATAGCAAACGAATCACTCAGGACTCACTAACCCTTCCCTTCCTGAATCATAGCATGAACGAATCACTCAGGACTCGCTCACCCCCTCCCTTCCCGTGCTGAATCATAGTGTGAACTGTTAAGGTTCAAATATTGAGGAAGGAGAGTACAAACAACCATGGTCCAAGAGCTTGGTCAAACAATTGATTTTAATGAAATACACGCGTGGGGGGACCAGCTCCCTTCGCAGACAGCGCTGATCTCAGACGAATCAAAGCATAAGCATATATTTTATACCATCAGGGCTTGAATTTAATGACGCCCCCTCATGCGTCATCAGATACAATATATGCATACGTCAATTCAAAACCACAATGACTTTTAACACAGTTTGAAAAGGAACATTGTCTCTATCTTCATGGCAGATGTTTCCTGTCAACCTTTTGACTACTGCTTCTCCAAACCCGCAGTTACAAGTCAACATGATTAACCTCTCACCTATAAATGATTCTCTCTGAGTGTGTGTGTGTGTGTGCGTATGTGTCGTCCTTAAATGCTCTCTCATCTCACCCGTTGCACTTCTGAATCACTCAGGACTCGCTCACCCCCTCCCATCCCGTGCTGAATCATAGTGTGAACGAATCACTCAGGACTCGCTCACCCCCTCCCTCCTGTGCTGAATCATAGCGCGAACGAATCACTCAGGACTCGCTGTCGCTGCAGAATTTCAGTCAGGTTGATGTCTGGACTTTGACTGAGCCATTTCAACACACTTCATTTTTCAGTCATTCTGCTGTGCCTGAGATCGTTGTCCTCTTGCATGTCCCAATGTCAGACAAGTAAATGGCCTTGCATTGACTCCAGATCAGGGTGGAAATGGTGGATCTACAGGTGACTGTTCCAGAAATCTTGTGGTTTGTTCAAATGAAACTTTGAGAAACCTAACCCCAAAAAGATGATTTTGTTCATCTGGCTGTAGCGTTTTCAGTGGGAGAAGCATTTCATCGCTCATCTAATTGACTTCAGTCTCAGCTGACTGCAGGCTTCCCCAACGCTATGTCCAGATGAACAGAATCAACTTTTTGGGATTTCCTTACCTGAATGATCGAGCATGCATCACGACATTTGTGAACCTGAGCTGTGCTGCATTTTTTTTCTAAAGAAAAAGAGGCTTTCTCCTGGCAACCCTTCCAAACAAACCACACATGTTCAGCCTTTTTCTAATCGTACTGTTATGTACTTTAGCAAGCAAACAGGGGACTGCAGAGTCTGAGATGTAGCGCTCATTTTTTTCCCCTCCCACTGAACATTGTAGTCTGACCTTGGTTTGAATGTGCTGGGACGTCCACTCTTGGAAAGACTGGCAACTGTCTTCAACGTTTTCCACTTGTAAATAAATTGTTCTCGTTATAGAATGACTGTTGTTGGCAGTGTCCTTAAAACCCTTGCTAAACTGAAGAGCAGCAACAATTGTTTCTCTAAGAAAACCTCTGATGGCTTTGCTGTTTCACATTGTGTTAACACACCTGAATGCTCCAGACGAGAAAACTGCTAAATTTCTGCTTTTATGGAGGTGCTCACACTTGACGATCAGTTACTGTATCCTGGTGCATTTGATTTTTAGCACCTGGGTGCTACTTATCCTGTTGATATGGAAGCAGAAAGGATGTGCTTAGTTCTTTTTACAAACTGCTTCTGAATGTTGTTTTTGCTAAATAAATCCATCACATGTAGTTTTTCATCTAAAAACGTATTTATCTAATTTAAGACTTGTTAAAGACCTTTTTTTTTTTTTAAATGTCATGGTACCTTAAGAATAAAATAAAATTTTTTTCATATAACTATCCATTCGTCCATTCACTTCTACAAGGACACTGCTTACTGTAGCCTCATCACTTTGTACTCTGTCTGACCAAGGCAATACATTTTAGAAAAAAAAATCTATCATTAATGGAAATCTGATAAAGAAGAATACATTTGTAGGCCAGTAACACCACCGTACATCTAAAAGAGCCACGTGACGCTTTGAATATTCCCTCCCAGGTGGCCACTGGCCTGTATAAGGTAGGACTGTGGTGGCCGTACGCTTTGTGCAAACTACATTCACATTTGATAAACTCAACAATTGCAGTCGTATGTTTTTTTTAGCTGCATGTAGAATATGTGTCCAGACTACAAGGACATTGGCAGGATAGCAAAGTAGACTTACAGAGAAATTGTACAGGTAGGTACAAGAAAAACACAAGAACAAACAGAAAATGCTTGGATGAATGATTACTTTGGCTACGTATGATCTCAGCCTTTGAAGCTATAATGGTCTCACTAAGGCTTTGGTTAGGCTATGTGCGCCTTCTAATAAAGACAGTTGAAGCTGGGAAGTTTATAGAGCATTTTGTCCTGCTATATTAATTTAGGATGGACAAACAACTTTCTGCATTTATGTTGATTACAACCAAAAATGTAAAAAAAAACCCCCCAAAAAACAAAACTATTTAAATAAAATAAAAAATAAAATACAACAATAACAGCCACATAGGCAATGACAGCATGCCAAAATAATAATATAAATTATAAAACAAAATAATAATAAAAAACCACATTTATTTCCTTTTTTTATTGCAAATATGTCTACAAAAACTAGGAATACAGATAGAGATATAACAAGTATGGTTAAGTAAGTTCAGTTGCAATGCAGAAGAAAGAAAAAAAAAACACATTCTGGTGCTTTGTGCCATATTTTGGATCAAAGTTTGTTCCCTTTTCTGAAGACTTACATTCACTAGAAAATACACAGAGCAAAAAACAGTCCAGTACCACCAAACTCTAACAAAATCTAATATTAGAACCCGTGGAAGCGCAATCGTGGCTTAACTCGTAAGTATTAATACATTTATAAACACAGAGACAGACCATTAACACATAGGGAGTGGAAACAAAAAGAACTTATAAAGAACAAAGAAAGAAAGGAAAACATAAAAATAAAAATAAAAACCAAAAGTTATACAAATAAATGTAAGTTTGAAACTTTCAATTGTACTTGACTAATGTGATACATAAATACAGACAGGACAAGACATATGATAAAGATGTAAAAATGCAAATGCGATTAAAGTTTGTTTTTAAACATTTTTTATGGTTTACAAAAAAAAGTGCTTAGCAACATTGCATCTGCAGCTTTCAGAGGAAAAGCTGTTATATTCTGATTCTTTGGAATTCATAAATGTTAATGGCAGCACACAGAGGAGGATCAGATAAAGACGGCAGAATCTATTTGGGTGCATTTTCATTTTTGAAATATAATGTAATCAACTAATACGCTTCAATATTCCTAATGAATCACAATCAGAGTTTTTCAAGAAATAACCTCTGAGGACATTGGGCAGGCCAAAGTGCGATCAGCTTTCTGTGCTCCATCTGCCAGAAAATGATTTTTTTTGTACCACTGTGCCTTAAAAACATGGTCCATGAATTCATTACCGTTTCTACACAAATGCATTGTCATTATTTAGTTGCCCAGCTATTTATTTATATTTCCTCTTGTTAACAAAGCTTTTGATTATGACCTTTAAGGTTATAATCAGAGTATATTTAAATGTGTGGGCAGAAATGTACTATATGCTGCATATAAAAAAATGTGTATATATATTTTTTTCTTTCAAATATAAGAAATGACCCTCACAAGGCTCTTAGTTTCGCGAGGAGTGCCTCTACATCTGACTCTCCATTGGTGCCACAGCTGCTCACTGTGGGACTAAAGGAGGATGACTGGAAGGCTGGAGTTCCCGCGCTTCCTGTGCCAACCTCCATCTCTTTTTCGGTCGCTTTAACTCTCTCCAACACCCTCTCTCTGTCCGGCCCATAGCCGTGACCCGCCACGTTCCTGTAACCGCGGCCCGACTCTGAACCCACAGCAGCTTTGGCTCTGGCTGCAGATGGATGGCTCTCAGACTCATTATGGGCCTCCCGGGCAGAGGGAGCTTTCACCGCCGCTGAACTCGCATTTATATTCTGCCGAGAGCGAGACCTTTGTAAAGGTGCCTTGTTGTTTTCTGCGAGTGAAAAACAGAGACAAAGCAGTGAGCACAACTATGAGAATGAGGGAGAAGAGGGTGATGCGTGACTGACACGTTAAATGAATGGGAGCAAGGAGGTTAATCAGATTACAGATTAAATTACAAGCAAGCCACAGAGAAGCGGCAAAAGCAGGCGAGCGATGAGAAAATAGAAAGTCAGGCGATGCAGCGAAACACGAAATGATGAAATAAAAGAAGTTAGGAAGTAATAAAAACAGTTTAGTAAACAATTACGCATGCAAAACAAATTACATACATACACAAGAGGTCGCACTGCTAGTCTGTTAGAATCGACATACTCTCACTGATGAGACTGAAGTTTCTGCAGTACACTCTGGCACAAAGCCAGTTCAGCATGATGAAATGGATATGGCTGATCAACCACAACAGAAACTCAATAACATTGTATGTTGCCCTTTTTTCCAATCTCCTAGTCTCCCCCCCTTGCACGACACCCTCCCACCCAGCTTCACCTCCCCTGATTCTACCATCATCATCCATTCTCCTTCCTCTGCTCTTCATCTCGGCTCTCTGCTCCGGCACTTGTCCTCTTCATCTTTCTTATTCTTTAAAACACATTCCCAGGCAGACAGTGGAACAGAGCAACGCCCAGATGCCAAGATCAGACCTACGTTCTGAATTATAATCCCTCTGAGTAGATCTTAGACTTCATCATCAGTATGTGCGCGCTGGAAGGAGAGGGCAAATCCATATTCATGTGACCTTGAGTGTGAGGCTGAGAGGAGTGGCGCGAGGAAAGACACCGCCGCATTTAAAGTTTCCTGAGCCTGAAATGTCTGGCAAACAGGAGTCAAACACAGCAGAGCAGAACAGAGCGACCCGCTCTGTCAGCCAATCGGTAATGAGTTTGGAGCGTGGCCAGTCAGTCATGACAGTGTGTTTTATGGGCCGAGCTGACGAATGACAAGGAACGTCCCTGAACACAACCTCTGACAAATAAATAAGGATAAAGGGAGGAAAGAGAGCAGACAAGAAGGAAGCGACTGCAATATTAAGGAAAGAAAGTCAACGTTGGCACTCGCGCACACACAAACACACGTTGTTACGTTCACAACAAACCTGTTAGGCAAACAAGAGGCAGTGGGTGACTTTAAAAGGAGGAACTGAGTAGAGTGTTTCGCGTTGCTTGCTGTGATTGAACATCTAACATAGCTGAAAATGCAAGTCTCCTCTCATTATCTGACCCTTTTTGCGCCATCTTCCTGTTGTAGCAGTCTAACTTGCAACAGATGACAATTATTTCCCACTGCTGATCCTTTTTGCTCCACAATTTCCCAATCATGTCCTGTTTCTCTGTCCTCCCCCTAAAAAGTGCATCAGCTACACCCACCCTGTCTGTTTCTCTCTACTTAGCGATGCCCCCCTCTTTAAAGGAAACGCTTGTTTCCCTTAAAAGCGCCGCTCACAGATTCAGAGCTGATGCTGGGAAAGTGATCAGTTCTGTAATAAACTATTTGCATTTTGATATCTTGTTTACACTTTAGCTTAATCTCAAATTGAGGCCGTTTCTGTCACGAAAAGCAACACGGATGGGATTATTATCACACGTCGAGTGTGACAAAATGTCAATCTTTGAATTTACATTCATTTTAACACGTATTAGCATTTAATTATTTTCAGCTCTGCATGTAGCCTAAATTACTTATGAAAACCACATACTGACTGGAGTACAAAATGCTGTTTCGATACATATACATTTACACTTCAAAAAGAAATGAAGAAACCCCACACTTGAATAAGACCTCTTATCCAAAAGTGCATTTCTCTTCTCCCTAACAGGGCCTTGGCCTTTAGTGGTGAACATGATCAAAGTGCTGGCAAGTTCAGTTTCTTCTCAGTCTGTCTGCCTGTGACACCTCGCTGCCCCTTCCTTTGAAGCCTCGCTAGCTTCTCAACATATGCCTTCATCTAAGCTGTAAAACATGTCTGAGAGATGTAAAATATGTCTCATCTTCCAGGTAGCACTCCTTTAACCAACAACTGACAAAGGCTGTACAGGAGAACTAGTCAAGCAGAATTTTAATCGAAATCGCTGCTCTGGATCGTCAAGGAATTCAAAGACAAAACTGTCGTCTTTTATTGAACACATGCCTGTGATGGTAGAGGTGTGAATTTATCCTTCTCACACCATCAAATATGGATTAGCTGCGTGATGTGCAATTAGATATAAAAGATGGTTAGTGTACTTTAGTACGCAACATACTCAGGATAAATCCCACATCATTATGACAGGTCTCGGACTGAACTTTGGTGCCAAGTGACACTGATCTAAGTGATATTACTGCGATACATGATTAGACTCTGATCTGCTGACTCAGGATTCACTACAGGCTTCATAAAGCTTTTTCCACCCCGATCACATACGAGGACACACTTTGATAAAAATGCTTCTGTTACTTCAACACAGTTACATCCACGTCGGTACATTGTTACAGCAAACCATGCAAACCTCCCCAGAAATGTAAATACACATCACCATCACTGCAGCCTGCACAGGAATAAATACCTCATCAGCTTTTGCGACCTATGCATGCTGTGTCGTAGGCTCTATGTTAATATTATAATTCTGGCGTTAGTATTTCTGAGCTATGCACTTTTTCCTAAATCTTGGCCACTGGGCATTCTTTTAGGGTAGAACAGTAGAGAAGTAGGGAGAGAGCAGTGAGGAATGGCACTGAGAAAATGGTCCAGTGCAGACTCGAACACAGGCCCGCTCAACCTTTCAGCGCCCGCTCACCTGCTACTGGACATTATTCACCTCAGTTTTAAAATGCAGCTCTTCGAACACTAAATGGTTACATGTCCTTGTAAGCAAAAAGCTTCTTTCTTCAGTTATTGTCTTCAACCAGGAGCCATTGCAAGCCAGCAGCATTTTTACTGTGTGGTTTTTGTGAAATAATAAGCTGGTGAATGCCACTTTTAAGCTAAAAAGTGAAACGGAGTGTTGTCTGGTACTTACACAGAGCTTTTCTATTTCTGCTAAGCACTTTCTTCTGTAATGACTGAATTGTGAAGCCACGGTGGCGGTTTCCAACACCTTTGACGTCACTGATGGAGGCAGAACATATTGAACCAATGTTTGAACTTGGGTTTTGGCCTGTGTATTGATAGAGCACCAATACAGCAGCCCATACTTAGAAGTTCATCTTCACACCTTAATGTCAAACTACTTCGTTAGAAAGCTTTCACAGTGAAATATAATAAAAGAGCAGGAGAGGTATTCTTTTCTTCCACTGGCAAACGGCAACACAAAAGAAAACACATTTCTTCATGAAAGCTCATTTGCGGCGTTTATGTTCGGTGCTGATGCAGGTAAACATTTATTCACTTCTTTCCTGCTTCTGGATTGTCGACATTTGAAAAAGAAGGTAGGAGCAACACTGAGGCTTCTGAGACAGAAAGTGCTCACCTGTCTTTCACTTTTTCGCACTGTTAAAGCTAAACTGACACCATTGTAGTAATAAACTCATCAACATCAAGAGGTGTTAAGAGATTGGAGCAAAACTGAACATTTGAGAAAGCCTAAAGAGTGGTATTTTCCAGGGAGTCAACCATAAACACAGCACTAAACCAGCAGTCTATCACAGTCCTCAGTCCGACGCCGTCCTTTAGTCTGCTTGAAGGCAGAACGGAGAAGAAAAACTGTTCAAAAATGACAATAAAAGAGCTGGCAGACTGAGTGTGTTGTGCCTTTTCGCTCTCAGCTTTGCTGTAAAATGTGTCTTTAAACTGCGAGTCTCAGAGCCCAAAGCCTTTTTTCCCAGCTACTGACACTGGTTCTGTTTCAGCATAAGACAAGCAAAATCTCAAACGAAACAGACTAATCGCTGCTCTGAATCGTTTGAAAATATCACTGGGAATTTCAAGATGGAACCATGGTGGTTTATTACATGTCTGATAGGATGGCATTTTGTAGAAATGTAAAAGGCCCCGTCCAATAGAGAAAACAGAGATTTTTTTTCTCCATCTGCAAATAGCTGCAGAAAGGAATTCACATTTTTCTCTTGTCAGATCATTTGGTCCATTTGCATTTGCCACTTCAAATACAGATGCAGATGAGCCTTTCCTCTCATCTCTCACCCCCTCCCTGTCTCTCCACTCTTATGAAGTTTGCTGTATTTGATCACTTTAAGAAGAGAGCAGTCATGCAGACTTAGAAAAATACAGATAGTGAAGTGACTTTTTCTCTCCACGGAGTGACTGACACAACAAGTTAAAGTTAGCAAGATCAAATACACACTTCTTTACCCGTCATAAATCAAAACATGGCTTGATGGCTTGTTTTTTTTTTTTTTTTCACCCTTTCCATTTAAATCTAAATCTTTGCATTTGGGGCCACTTTATGGCTTATGACTTTGGCTACATAATCAAACAAAAGCACATTTTGTATAAACACTACTAATAATTTGTCATTGTTGATTTTAATTTTTATACATGCTTGTGATTGTCTAACATTATTGGCTAGGCTCACATCTTTTGTGTGTACTCCTTTTACATTGCCATTGGTTCCTCTTGCTGACCTGTAGTTGCCTAATATGTTGGTGTATTTACTGTGTTTTCCACTGCTATTGTACTCTGGTTACTTTCCACCTCCGTGTCAACAAGAAATCTCTGATCTTTTTTGCATTGCTGAAGCAACAGACCGTCTGTGTCCTGTTTACACTGGTCATGTAATGCAAGTTTACTTGAAGATTATTTCTGAATGTTTGCTAAAATGCTCATCTATATCCAAACAAATTTAGCTTTAAAATAAAAACATTTGAATATGTGGATATATAGCCTCAGTGTCGTAAGAGCAGCCACAATGAACTGAAAGTGACCAGTTCTGTTTTATCTATAGAAAATTTCCATCGAAGAGATGAGAGACAAAAGCAGAATTAGGCATGTCACTTGGAAATCAAATGGTTAAAATGCACTGGTGGCTTTACTTTAAGTCCTACAATGAAACATGACTG